GCTCCGTTATCCTCATACAGTGAAGATCCGTCTTTATTTGTTTCGTCTTCTTTGTTAGACTTGCACTTGCTACTTTTCTTAACTCTAACGTACTTTCTCTTCGCTCTTCTTTTGGTAACAAGTTCTGTGTTGTTATATTCTGGTGTAGATCCATCAGATGAACCACCGGCGACAGGTTTCGGTGCGATCGGTCGGAATCTTAGCATTATCCGATTCATTATCGTCGTATCGTGCGGTCCACCGGCGTACTTAGCAGCAGGAAAACCATTTCCAGCGTCCATCACAGCTGAGGAGGTCTCTCCAGGAGGTGTTTTTAGACTGAGAAAATGTAATTTGACCGGTTGCCAAGCAGATTATCATAGTTACAGCACAGTGATAGGGGTGAAGAAAGAACACGTGTCTAGGGCAAATTTAGAATAGTGAAGAGCTTTGATTGGTGCAGAGCAATTAGGTGGGTCCTCTGATAAAGTAGCGTATCCAGGGAAATTGGGTGTCCTGATTGGTGTGAAGGGAAGAGCCAATGAGAAGGTGGACACGTATCTCGCACTGAGACAAAAAAAGGTGCCACGTATGTACCTTCTAAGTTGTGAGGACCAAAGTGGTGAATACTTTTTGGTGGGAGGTTGTCATTACTGGACGCGTGTCTACTGGTAGAATAGTTACATTTCACGCTCCTTGCTCGCCCGTGATATTCACCATACTCCCTCTCCGTTTAATTTATTTATCTGATTTTAATTTAATACTCATTTTCAGAAGTAAAAAATACTTCTAAATATTTTTATCATATTTTTACATATATATATTGAATGTAATGAACTATTTTTTTATTTTGTTATTATTTTAAATATGCAATGTAAAAAAAATAATGAATGTTTTATATAAAAATATTTCTCCTGTTTCATTTTGTATGATTTTTTTATTTTTAATATGTTAAAAAAGGAATTTCAGCTTACTATAATTGTAAATAATTTAATTTTAATTTTTTTTTATCTTTAATGAAATGATTATCAACCACATAAATATTTAAATATTGTTTTAGATCATAAATTTCAACAAAACTTATTTTCTTCTAAACATTACACCAAGTTAAAGAGTGTCAAATAAAAAAACCGAGAAGTGAATCAAAAAGAATAATATTTCCTGCGTTTTAAAAAGAATGACTTTCTTTCTTTTTTAGTCTATTTCAAAACGAATGACCTTTTTTTTTTTTTGGTAACATTTTAATTTCAGCTTTCCACGTGACATGTTTAAAACCACAAAATTAAAGGGCAATTTTGTACATTTGATATAACTTTAATTTAGGACCACAAGATTCAAAAGTCTTTTTTATTTTCTTAAATTTCATATCAAATCAAACTAAATTATTCTTTATAAAACGGAGGGAGTAAGAAAAAAATAGTAGGTAATTGGATGGGAATTGTACTGAAACAAATGGTTGATGTTTAGTGAGTGAAGTTAACGCGCTTGTGTGAGAATGTTGTGGTTAATAAGGGTATGGTATTCGGACGCGTGGGGATTTAATTAGGGTGACTACTAGGGCCCAGGTAAATATTTGCGTCCGTATTAGAATCTCAAAATTAAATGTTTGGACATGTTATTGCTGTCTTGGATAGTGAAGGGAAAATAGATGAATGGGTGAAAAGATTGAAAAATCGAACGCTCGTCAGGAAAATTAATTTTATTTAGTAGGCATTTTGCCATGCGATATTATATTACAATATAGTATCATGAGATGGAATCAGCATTTGGACATGTGAGTTTACGCGGATTCCATCTCATGATTCCATATCATGAGATGTGATTCCATTTTCTCCAAAAACCATGATATGAAATTACATGGTAATTTCATATCATGATTTGAGATATTTTAATACAAAAATTAATCCACGAATTTATATTTTGTTAAAATAACCTCACATATATATCTACTAACTATTTATTTCATATGTAAATAAAATTTATAATCACATCATTACTTTTTAAAATTAATTATTCTCACCAACATAACATTTATTATTCTCACCAACATATAATCACTTTAACTCACACCAACCGATTGTTAAAGTGATGAAATATTTATGGTCTATGAGCATGAAAAAATATAGTTGCGGATGATATTGACCAACAAATTGCTCAAAGTAACAATGTTGGTTCGTCTTCTCGATCACATGATCGAGAAATACAAGGTTCAACGTGAGAAAATTGTCCATGCTTGAAGTTGGAGACTTGGAGTTCTTTGTGTGGAAAATAAAAGGCAAATTTAAAGAGAGAAAAAAAATATTTTTGAAACTTGAAAAGTGGGAGAGAAGGAAACTTGAACTTTTGAGGTCTTTTGACTTTAGAACTTTAAAATTCAGCTTCTTCTTTTTTCTGAAAAACGTGTATTAAAAAATTGAAGCCAATTGTGGCCGTTTGGGATCGAACTCGGGACCTTGGTGTTAAAATCTGGCTGTCAAATTAGTGAACCATCCAGCAATTTTGAGAACGGGTTTCATAAGTTTTATTTAATATATTCTTTAATAATTATACAAATAATATATCGAGTTTAATCGGATGATCACGAGTTTCGATGACCCAAATTTGATACATAATTCGCCCCTGGGCTTGACCCATTTCTTAAGGCTCATCCTATGTCAAATTCGCTCGTGTGTGTACACATTATATATGAGTTGTTGTTTCATTCTATATCGATCCCTTTGGGGACCTTAGATAAAATTGAAATAATAGAGAAAATATTAGTATGATGTTTGCGCAAGGAGTGATATAACTATTGGGGGTTTAAATATGAAAAGACTATTGAGATAATTAAGTAGATTTTGATAAGATTCTCGAGATAGGAAATGACAGCCCAGGAATAGGAGTCTAGGATTTTCATTGGTTGCTTCTATAGATATGAAACATAGTGAGACAATTACGCTAGATTTTCTTTAGATTCTATTTCCTAATTTTATTTTATTTTATATTTTAAAAGTTTGCTTACAAATGAAACTCATATGCTAACAATTAACATGTTCAAGATTTAGTAATAAATATTCATAAACTGATTTTATGTGACTATGCCATTGATTTTAATACCCAATAATAAGGAAAATAGTATGAAAAGATTATTCTTTAAACCTAACTATGACTCATCATGGGAAAGTTGGAATTTGAAAGGAAAAATATAAAGCCCCAAAAGTCTGGTAATATGCAACCAAAGGAATCTTCAAAGCTAAACAGTATACTAATGATTATAATTTTTATTTAATTAAAGCTACTTTTTATTGTTCCTTTTTTCAATTATTTTCTTATTCATTCATTTAATAATCAAATCAACTGGAAATTTAGTAATTCACTAAGTTTGGAAAATCAAAATCTTAATGAAAAGTTGGTATAGATATACTAGTATGTACGCAAGTGGAATAACTTGGATTTGATGATATTGATGTTGCTTAATTTTTCAAAATAATGTACTTATTTATAAGCTAATTTTGATAAGATTGTCGGCAGTGGGCACAAATGGAAAATGGCGAAGGGATTATATAAGATAAAAGAAAATGATTTCTCGTCGTTAACAAGGTGAAAGTTAAGATCGAAGGTGACAAATTTAATTTATGAAATAATAAACGGTCTAACCTATTTACGTTTGGGCTAATTATTGACCCGCCAATTTTTTCACTTAACCTATTAAAATTTAGATTTAATCTAAATTAATTAATGAAAAATCTTGTTTAAATATTCTTAAATTTAAATAAAAACAATATTATTTATAATTTATATTAAAATGAATAAGGTTGACAAATATCAAAGGAGGACTGTAGGGAAGGCAGCTGAGCAAAAATGGGGTCAGCAGAAAAAAGAAAAAACAGGCAGTACTTGTGTAATGTGTTGTGTGGTTTTTGAATGGATAAGCATATGACAATATTTTCAAACATTTTTGGATAAAATATCAATAATCTTATCTGGTTAGGTTTGCACAGTAAAGGTCCCCTACTTCGCAGGTTCAAAATTTTAAATTTATAATTAGTTAATTAATTTCATAACATATTATAAAAATTATTAAATTATGTAAATTTTAAATTTATAATTAGTTAATTAATTTCATAACATATTATAAAAATTATTAAATTCATGTAAACTCACGTAACATGTGCTAAATTCCCCGCAACCCCTCTTCTCAGTCTATATATTATGTTGGTGGATAGGACATTTTGCCTTTTGTATAATTACTTGGAGTTTTAGAATTGTTATGTTATATGGAAAAGAAAGCTCAGTTTTATATATGCTTTCACTTTAACAAGGTGGTGGATTCATGAAATTATGGCAATAGGTGGATAAGTTTATGTTATATGCATTAAATTAATTATATAAATATATATATATATATGTATAATTATTATAGGTAATTAGTTGATGATTGGTAAGATAATACTAACTAATTTTGTTATCATATGTTAAAATAGTATAAACAATTTTTATACGAGGCAAATCAGATTTTGGGGTTCTAAATTTTCTCTAGAACTGTTAATTAATATTTTAGGGGTTCACAAATTAATATACATATATATTTAATTAATTTTTTTAGTACATATACAGGGTCTACGAAAAGCTACTGGGTTTGTTCGAACCCACGAACCCTCACCTAGCTCCACCATTGCATGCATTAATATGTAGACATGAATGTGCGTGCACGGCTAAGCAAAATATCTTAATTAATTTAGAAGATTGTTTATATATTGCGCCTAAATAATATTATGCTATTTTTTATAATTTAACACGTCGCAGTATGCTAGATAACTTATTTTCTTAATAACCAATTATTTCATTATTGACAGTGACATGTACAGTAGCTATTTATTATAAGTGACTCAAAAGAGTTCATTCCTTTTACACTTGTCACAGTTTCATTTTTAATAGTCAAATAATATAAATTTAGGTTAATATTATATAATATATATTTTTCATCATAATAATATAAGAATTTTTTAAAAATTATCATAATTTTTGTATGCATTTGAAAATTCAAATTTTGATATTAAAATATTAATTTACTTTATTTAAAAATAATTAAATTGATAACGTACATACTAACCTGCTTGAAATATCTCTATCAAGATGCTGGTTAGCTGGGGTCTTGCCAGAGTCGATGCACCTACATAAACAGACATTATATATATACTATCAGAAAATCTTAGGGGAAAAAATGAACAAACGGAAATATTTATGTTTTTTTATTTTAATTTATTTATCTTATTTTTTAAAATTTATTTCAAAAATAAATGTCTTTTTTTTTTACTATTCATTAATTTTAATTATCTGTATAACATGTTTAAGATTTTATGATTAAAAATATTTAAGTAGCTTTAATTTAACACCATAAAATTTCAAAAAAAAATTCACTTTCTTAAATTTTGTGCTAAGTTAAAAGCAGACAAATAAATTGAGGAAATAGAAAGAGTTGAAAACAGATTCTTCTTTAAATGAATTAAAAAAAAAAAAAAGGTTTATAGAAAGATTATAAGAAGCCGGAGTAACATCTATCTTACTTTTTGCCAAATATGAAGCTTGAATTATTGCAGACAGCTTTACAATTATGGCCGTTTTCTGTCAAATCTCTCCTCTTTAACCCCTCATTCATGCGGTAGGTAGGGCTTTATGATTCATGATTCATCTGAATGTGATACTTAATTTTAACACGAAACATATATAAATTTATAATTTCATATCCCCACCTTCGTACAGTATGAAATAATGTACCATACAATAAAATTGAAAACAGGGCATAGTTTTTACCTGAACTTTATATATGGATATGCCAGTAGCAGAAAGAGCACCGGCGTAGTGCGCCCGCCAATAGATGGAAAGCAGAGGCGTCGGTCGGTTGGCAGCGACGCCCATTTCCAATTTATTAAATAAGATTCGAATGTGTGTATATAAAAAGTAGGAATTGTTTGTAGAGAAAGATATATGGGAGCTGTTAATGGTATAATTTTTTCTTTAGCTTTGAATTTTGGGATATCTCTGTTTCTCTTTAGACATAATGCTGTCTGTCTAGGCAGTGGAAGTTAAAAAGGACAGATTGAGATGGGTACGAGCACTGGCGTTAGCCACATGGTGGTCAGGGTGTCCAGCTGGATATCCTTTATTAGTTGAAAAAAAATATTTTATATACAAGTATAATGATATACGAAATGATTAAATAATATATTTTTAACACTTTTAGCATAAAAAAATGTTATAACCTAGTGATTTCATCTCCTTGAAATGAGAAAGTGCTCGTATGTTCAAATCTCACTAATTCATTGAATACGAGTGACAAGAGATGATAATTTTGAAATCAAATTATTTTTTATTTGATTAGGGATATTAATTAATTTTATAATTATTGATTTCACTATATATACTATAATATAATGATAAGATAAATTATTTTGTATATATAATAGGATAAATTGACATATCAAATATTCTAATTTATAAAATAACTTTATTTATCTCATCTTACCAACTATGCCAGAGTATATCTTAAAAGGGAAAAGCCCCCCAAATGCTTGAAAATAAAAGTTGTTTTGTTTGGGAAGTACCTAGGCTTCCCTATTTTTCTGAAAGCCTCTAACATTAACGACTTTTAGTTTATCATTGATAATCTACATCAAAAGCTATCGGGGTGGTAAATAAAATTTCTCAACGTAGCAGGTAGGACAACACTAGCCAAAGCTAGCCTAAATAACATTCCTAGCCATATTATGCAATACATCAACCTCCCCAAAGAATAGCTAAAAAAATAGATCAAATTCAAAGAAACTTCATTTCGAAAACTACAAACACAAAGAAAAAAATTTCATATGATTAAATAGGCAACGGTGACGCAAGCGAAAGAGGAAGGGGGCCTAGGAGTCCAAAAAGCGGAAACAAAGAACAAAGTCTTACTAGCCAAACTAGCGTGGAGAGCATTTACAAAACCAAACTCAATGTGGGCATCTATACTAATCAACAAATTTTCAGGATCTAACTGCTTCCCTGACCTAAAGACAAAATCAAATCATAGTAAAATTTGGAAAAATATTGGGAAAGGGTGGAAGATATGTAAAGCTGGACTGAAATGATCCATTGGAAACGGGTCGAATATCTCCCTATGGTCTGACATCTGGCTCCCAAACAACACCACCATTAGAGAAATTATAGCAGGTCCCTTAATGCAACATGAATACAACCTGACATTTAAGGACTTCCTAACAAGCAGGGGAACATGGAAACTCGATGTGCTATCACTCGAGCTACTAGAGGAAGTTACAAACCTTATCCATAGCCTCCATATTCCCATAACAATTAACAAAGACAAAACCTCCTGGCTCCATAACAAAAAAAGGTCTATTAACAACCAGCTCATCCTACCAACAGGTTAGAAAAATATACAGTCCTCCTAAGAATAATAACTCCTCATTTAATTGGATATGAGGTCTCCACTGTCCAAATAAAATTAAATACTTCTTATGGTTATGCAACCATGGGAGGCCACCAACACGCCACTATCTAAGCAACTTAGGAATAGAGAAAAATAGTGATTGCCACATATGTAATTCACCCAAAACTATGCATCATATCTTCATCGATTGCGTCATAGTTAGAAGACTCTGGTTTAAGTTAGGAATAAGCATGCCTACAAATAGTGGAGATCCTGATCATGAAAAAAAATCGCTAGACTTTCTTGGAAAGACAGACATTAAAATAAAAAATCTTAAATGGATCGATGTCTTTCCCTTCTACTCATGGAGTAGTTAGATGAATAGAAATGGGAACTTCGACAAACAACAAAAGGAAAACATAAATCCTAATAAACCTTATACACATACTATGGAATTCATGACCCTCAACAACCCAAGACGAACCAGAAGCTGACCTAAATTCGTATTAGTTAGATGGGAAAAAACTTAAACAAGGTACAAACTAAACACAAACGGCTCCTAAAACTAACTAATCGGGAAAAATGGTATAAAATGAGTCATTAGAGATAGTAATGGAAATTGGATCATAGGGTTCATAGGAAACTTATACGAAGCGAACGATATCATTGCTGAGTTTTATGTCTTCCATAAAGGATTAGCTATGGCTCACGATAACAATCTCTTACCCATTACAATTAATATTGATTGTAAAGAAATCATAGGTCTTTTAATATAATGACCATCGTGCTTACTCCAATATTCTGTGTGATTGCAGGGAACTCCTCCGCAGGTTGGGGAACCCCCGGTCCAGCATAGGTTCAGAGAAGAGAACCACGTGGCAGATGCTTTAGCTAAGGAGGGATCGAAGCTAACATATGCTAACTCTTTTATTTTTTGAAAAGTTCCATCTCAGTAGCAATAGAAGCAGACAAAAAATGAACTTCTAATATTAGACATATTAGGCCTGCAATAATTATTGCAAATGATTGTAATTGTTTTTTGTCGATCCCCAGCCCCTCGAATTGTTCTAGCAAAACCAATGCTCTGCCATTGATTTGAATTGATGCATAAATATATATAATATCTCCTTATTTATCGAAAAAAAAGTTATTTTGTCATTAATAGGGTGAAAATTTACTACTAAACGAGAGAGGACTTGCAACTAATTGGAATTTTTATGTTGTCTGTTTTCTCATAAACATAAAACCTCTTGAGTTGTATAACTACTAAAATTTTCCCAATTCTTTATAGAATTCTACCAAATAAACAAAAGCTTATAAAATCGCATAATACACTATGACAAAACTGTTCTTAAAAAATACAATATTTATTGATCAAAATTTTAATTCAATAAAAATTAAATTGAATACAAGTTGTAGTATACTAGTCTTTAATATAATCTTCTCACATAGTACAAACAACATTCTCACGTTAAACTAGCATTTCTCGATCATATAACCTAGAAGACGAACCAACATTGTTATTTTTAGCCATTTGTTAGGCAATAAATTTGATCAAAAATAATAAAATTGGTGAATATAAATGGTAAAGTAGGAATTGATTTGAAGTAATAATAAATTTGTATTGGTGAGAATAATCGTTATATGAGATTTAAATAATTTCTAAAGTAATGATATGAATTATAAATTTTATTTACATATGAAATAAATGGATAGTAAATATAAATGTGGGACTATTTTTACAATATAAATTTGTGAGTTAATTGTTGTATTTGAAATTCTCAATTCATGTTATTTTAGAGAATTTGAACTTTCATCACGTGATATGAAATCTTGAGATGAAATTAGCGTGAGATCGCACGTCCAAACATTGATTTCATCTCATGATTTCATATCGCAATATAAAATTGCAGGTCCAAATGCCTTCCAAGTTTCCTAGCAGCTATCGTTAGTTAGCACAAAACAACGTTTTTAAAGAAAATGAAAATTCAAATTATAAATAGTTTAGTAGAGTTATTAGAGAAAATAATGCATGCATTAGCTTTGTGTATTATCAGTATCTTGTTTGGTACATACTTTCGATCTATGTATAACTTATGCTTGAATTAATACACTTCATTGTGTATTGAGGTATGCATTATCAATACCATTGATTTATTTACATTAATAATGCAATGAGATTTAGTGTTTCAATAGCATGATTAAAGACACAATTAGTCCTAAAAAAAATTCTCATCCTTTGCGCTATATCTATGGAGTGTATTTTTATAAATAAATATTATTATTTTTAAAAAATACGCTACGTTATTTTAATAGACCAAATTAAATACTCTATGAAAATTTCTCAATTTATCTAATTCAAATATTATAAATACTATATTATATTATTATTATTATTATATACTCTATAATAATAAGTAATCTCCAAACACATTGGATGTCCAAAGATATTTTTTTTCATATCTTTAGAAAAAGGTGATCATATATAGGAGGATCTTTTTTGCAAACAACACCACGGGTCCCCTTAATACGCACGTGAACATCCATTACTGTGTAGACTTCAAACTCGATGTATTAAATAAAGGAAAAAGGGTGAAGAATATCTTAATTTATTGGATACTCTTTGGTCTAAAAATATCCTTCACTTTTGTTGATATCTTTTGGTCAAAAAGTAATCCCAATTCAAATTTAATCAAATTGAATTCTTTTAGTAATTAATTATTAATAAATAATTCTAAAAAATTTAAATAAAAATTATTGAATTCAAATTTGTTTCTTCATCTCTAGCTCAAGGGCTGAACTACACACATCCAAAAATGGTCAAATAAACACCCTTCTGAGAAATTTTTTTCTAAATAAATAGGTTAAATACAAATATTTATTAATTGTTGAACATTCTTGACAAAGATATAGTCTAATGGGGAAAACGATGCAAATTTTCCTTGGAGGCATGAGTTTCACTTTAACAAGTTTCTTTTTTATTAATCAAAACAAGTCAAAGTACATCATTTAGTGTTTTGATTTTCTCCTTTTAAAATTAAAAAATAATTACTATTTTTTTTTCATTTTGGTTTTAAAAAATTAAGCTAACCCCATCATAAAAGTATGAGCATCCTTAACCAAAATGTTGATTTCGCCACTATTCTAACTACGCCCTTTCAAATTTTATTTAATAAAATTTTACTGACTATGTTATTATACCGCCTCAATAGTAGAGTTGGTAGCACTAGCATCAAAATTGAATAGAGCAAGGAAGGGAGACACTTGTCCTAATATAATAAAAAAATTAAAGATGAAGAATCATTTTCCAGAAAGCTTTGGTTGAACCTATATTCGAGGATGTACGATCCACTCCACGTTACATGACATGTGGTCCAACAAATATTCCAACAATAGGACCAATCCATATTTTATGTTTACCTTAATTTAGTAAAGGGCTTTGTCTACATTTAAAACATATATAGATAAATATATATACTTTACTTTACTTTACTTTAATTATGATGAGATAAGTCATGTTGGAATAAGTTATGATGAAATTATATTTTATTACTTGTTTGATTTATTAAATATGTATGGCATAATTTATATTAATAAGATGTTTGTTTACAAAAATACCCTTTAAGAATAAGTTGTTTATTTATAAAAAAGAAAAAGAGTTTAAGGGGGCACTTTTGTTATTTTACATTTTTTATGCCGGAATAACTTATTCCGAAATTAGTATCTCACCCACAAGTAGAGTTAACTTATCCTAGTCATAATTATTGATTCTAACACTTTGTAACCAACCAAAGAATAGAAGGGAATAGAGTGGTACTAAAAACTTATCCTGAAATTATTTTTCTTTATTCATTACACCAGCGGTCCCTAAAAGCAGGCACCTCTTTGATTCTTTATTGACATGTCTACTTTTATTCAAAGATATTTATATAATTCATTATATTCAATTTTAATTAGTTCATTGTACATTTTTTATATATATTTGATACGTACAACAATAAAATAAAATATATGTACACTTTATCTTTACCACATAAACAAAAAAAAGTTTCAAAAAATTGTAAACTCAAATAACACGTATCAAATACCTTCTCAACTTTTACACACTTTCGGAGGGCTCCAAATAACCCAAGGCTCTTCTCTGAGCCGCACATTGATCCAACTTTATAATATTTCCCCTCTCCCTTTTTTAATTGTCATATTTTTCTTTTTCAGAATCAAACAATATATATTTGAAAGTCAACTTATAATACTTTTTATATAGTTTTTAAATATTTAAACTTTTATTATAAAATATTAAATTAAAGTAATATAATTTAATTTTGAAAATTAATCAAATTAATTCTCAAAAAACACAACTTGACAACTATAAAGAAACGGAAAGAGTAGAAAAGAAGAACTCATCTCAACATATTTATATTATATTATATTTCATATATCTTATCTTTAATCGAATAAATCAAATATCTAGCACTAAAAGTGTCTTTACGAAATAATTCATTTAATTATGTAATCCTTAATTAGAATCATGTTTAATTATATAATATAACTTGTTCACCAATTCCTAAAAGGTTTAATTTATATATACTATGTATACAATTTTTATATGTTATATATCACTCAAAAAATATTTACAGATAATTCTAAAAAAATAATTTATAATAAACTAATTATGTAAATAATCTCTTAATGAATATCTTGTCATAAGATAAAGCAAAGGGAAAAACAATGAGAAGAAGGATCTAGAAATCCTGAATGCTAATTATTAGAGTATTTTCCACAGACAAATACCTAACCACGGCAATTAACAATCTTTAATTAATTAATTGACTAGACTTACAATCCAAACATCCTCAATTAAGACATGTTTCGTCTTCTTATTGCCGCCTAATCATTATATTGAGTAAATTTTAGGTTTAGTAAACATAAAAATTATATTTGTATGTTATAGTTATAGTTTGTATATTGCGCTTTATAGCAAACTTTATGTTTGCTATGACTATTAATATGTATATTTCGGTATACATATACATAAAAATTTGTATTTGTATATACTTATATATAAAAACTTGTCATATCTTGGTTTGTATATTTCGATGATCTGTATACAAACTAAAACATAGTAATTGTATATAAACAAAATTACTACATATATACATGAATAGATTATACAAACATGTCTTGTTATGTATAATTATGGAAAATATACAAACAAATTGAATTTGTATAAACAAACTAAAAAATAGTAATTATATATAGGAAAAAAGGCTCAAATATGCCATCGAACTTTCAGAAAAGGACTCATTTATGTCATCCGTTAAAAGTTTTGGCTCATCTATGCCATTACCATTTAAGAAAATATTCATTCATGCCATTATTTTTTAACGGTGGTTTTGCAAAACCATTTTTTATTGTTTGTTCAGAATTTTAATTTTTTATTATAAAAATAATAATGACGTGGCCGAATTATAATTGGCCACGTGTAAAAAATGGTTTTGCAAAACCACCGTTAAAAAATAATGGCATGAATGAGCCTTTTCTTAAACGGTAATGGCATAGATGAGCCAAACTTTTAACGAATGGCATAAATGAGCCTTTTCTGAAAGTTCGATGACATATTTGAGCCTTTTCCCTTATATATAAACAAAATTACTACGTATATATACATAAAGAGATTATACAAACATGTCTTATTATGTATAACTATGACACATATACAAACAAATGCTATACTAATATATACAATTAATTTTTATACAACACATGCATATCGAATGGGTCCAATCAGATGGCAAAAACATGAAATGTTTGCTGCGAATTACAAATAAAAGAAACTATGACTATAATATTTAATTTGAATTAATAATTTGCTATTTCATACAATTTTCCCTATATTATATTGGGATGTATTTGGTATAGTTCTTTTAATTTTATCATATTTGGTTTGCAAAAAAAAATAAAAAATTATTATTTTCGAAAAAACAAATTCCTTAAATGTACGAATAATGATTTTTCTAGTAAAACTAAGAAAAATAAATTTCACAATGCCACTTCATACTATTTGTCTCTTCCCCCAACAACATACTTGTAATCTAACAAGTACAATCTTGACCTTCTTTCCTTATATTATGAAGATATCCCTGACCCTTCAAATATTTGTCTAAATTATATATAAATAATTTTGAGATAATATTTCCGAATACCAAACATAGAAAATAAATAATATCATCTTGAAGGGCAACAAAGCTAGACCCTAGCTTTGAGAGTTCATCCGTTCATGTAATATAATCTCCGATAAGTGTAGTGTTGGCCAACGTACAATATCGACTTATGAACATGTTCATAGTGCATCTGACCAGAGAATCAGACTGATTACGGTACATCAAAACTGTTATTTACAACGAATGATTAACATCACATAGCTGGCCAACACAATGATGCACTTGGAATAACAATTTTCTCTTTATACACTTAAATGCACCAGGATCAATGTGAACTGAAAAGGGGGCACAAATGAGACAAATATAAAGAGGCTGATACACAGTTGGGGGAATCAAGGAGAATGACAATGAAGAGAAGAACGCATTGGGTCTTTGATGGATCTTATAGAAACGCCACCATATTGTACAGAGCAAACGTACATATCCTTTTGGACTACTCCATTTGGTTCAGTCGATTTAAACTACCCTATCTATAAGTTCCACCTGAAAAAAACACAAGCAAATCACACACTAAGCATAGGGCTAATATTTTCACCACTAGCTAAGAAAATTAAAATAGGATAATATTTTGCAGTAATACATACAACTTCTTGAGGAAAATTTAAAGCCAAATTACATAAGAATTGTTGTCATTTTATTCCTTTCAGCTCTTAGCGTTTCAATAAAAATTGTTATGAATCTTTAGGGAAGTATCGATTCACAAGGCGATATATAAATCAGCTCGTTAAAGGGAGGCTGAAACCTTAGAATTCATTAAAAGAGAACTCTGATCTCTTCAGCTCTTCAAAGGGAGACTGAAACCTTAGAGTTCAATGGAAGAGAGAACTATAATCTCCTGTTTTTTGCTGAATTATGACTTACTGATTTATTCATCAAAAGCCCCTTTAAATAGGAGTCTTATTACATCAATAGGAAGTCTAATTCTTATGAAAGTAGGAGACAAATCCTATTCCAAACTAATAACTATAACTTAACATAATCCTTATGAAACTCTGAAACTAAACCTTATTCTAGAATAATAATAAAGCAACTAAAAATATAATTTAAATACTTAAATTAATGACTTCCAACGCATCCCTAACATTACTCCCCCTCGTGTTGAAAGAGCTTGTCCTCAAGCTCAAGTTTCGGGCCAATCGAAAATCTGGATCAGTATCAACTTATCCAATTCCAGCCCTAGCTTGAAGTTGACATTGATAAATTTCGACTCTATCAGTTTGCTGAAGCATGACTAATTTGCCCATCAGATTGCTACTTTCATGAGGTCCAAATCACTGATATTCTTCCCAACTCAGCCTTTCGCTCGTTTAAGTTGATAATACCATAATGGTGCTAGTCCGAACATGTGAAATCCAGCCACACCAATCTTTTGCTATCATTGTATGTTGATTTTTGAAAAATGTTCACAACAATGTGCTCGAATTAATGGATTATTGGTGCCGTTATAAGTAGGTGGTGTATTGCCTTTTGTAGCAGGAATTGTTGATCTGCTAGTTGTCTGGGCACTATTTGACTCAGGTTTGTGGGTTGCTGATTTTGTGGAGTCAATTCCCAATCTAGACAATTGTTCTTGGATGACTTGGACAATTCTTTCGATGAGGCGTTGTTCCATTGCTGCAATTTTAGAGTCTATTAGGGTTTCTGTAATGGTATGTTTCCTTGAAATCGAGAACTGATCTCATCGCCCATTGTGTTAGGCTCTGTAATGGTATGTTGTGGATGCGTTGGAAGTCCTTAAATCAAATATTTAATTATATTTTTAGTAGCTTTATTTATTATTCTAGAATAGGGTTTATATTTCATAGTTTTATAAGGATTAGGTTAAGTTATAGTTATTAGTTTGGAATAGGATTTAGGTCTCCTACTTTCATAAGAATTAGACTTCCTATTGATGTAATAAGACTCCTATTTAAAGGGGATTTTGAGGAATAAATCGGTAAGTCATATTTTAGTAAAAAGCAAAAGATCGGAGTTCTCTCTTCCATTGAACTGTAAGGTTTCAATCTCCCTTCAATGAGCTGAAGTTATATACAAAAATAGGTCGATCTAGGAATTCGAACAAAGGCAAGGGAAAGTCGAAGTCAATTGATTTAGATTTTCCTGTTCATCGTCCTGTGACTCGATCCTTCTCTAAGAATCCTAATAATTTGGTACCATAGCCTAACACAATGGGCGTTGAGATCAGTTCCAAATTTTGCGATGAGATCAAACAAAGGCAAGGGAAAGTCGAAGTCAATTGATTTAGATTTTCCTGTTCATCGTCCTGTGACTCGATCCTTCTCTAAGAAGGATAACAATATGATAAGAATGCTTTATTAGATTAGAGGCAAAATTATCAGTACACCAACACCAAACAATTTCTAGTATAGGGTGCACAAACAGTCATTCTAGACATTATAGATAGAGTTGAAACATCAACTCCACTGACCTCATTGAGCAGTCCAGTTGGTACTTGGCCCAGTATGATTACACTTGAGAAAGATGCTCAATCTATCCACAGCTTTTGAATGAACATTCATCCAAAATCTCTGCAATTAAGTGTCTTCTCAGAAAATAATAATAATTGAGGTAGAAATAGTATTGGGGCAAGTTGGGGTGGGGGTGGGGGTGGGGGGTGATAGAAGAGAGAGACCTATCATTTCAGTGTTGGAGCAAAAGGAGCCGGACACGGAGATACGGAGTGATCAGGTAGTTGATTAATAAAGTTCACTGTTGTTTCCAGGCAAGCATTTAGAATTTTCTTTTCCAACCTAACAAGCTGTGTGGCAACTCGTTTTTTGGGATCCAGATCAGCATCAGACAACTATGAGAAGAAAACTGATATTAGACTCATGATGATGAACTTAGATCAAAACTCAACCTCTAAAAGCTTTAGGAGATTACCAAAGCCTCATCTTCACTTAAAGTGGTCGGATAACAAGCAAGTCTTGCCCTGAAATAGTCACTTAGCTGGTCAAGAACAGCTCTTTCCATGCAAGGACTCATCTGCATTGATAAAAACAGAGGAATGAGTCACCTTTTTGTTAAGATAACTATATGACAGCCGCTATAATTGTGGTTTAAGTGACTAGTTGGGAGTTCTGAATCTTTGTTAGTCTCCTTTTATACTTGTTTTACACAGAGTATGGTTCTGCAATTACATGCCAGACGCCATGAAATAACTTTTTGTAAAACTGGAGAGAAAGATATGCATAAAATAGGACACCAAAGCTTCTCTTAGTAGCATCAAACTCCTCATTTAGAAAAGCACCAAGTGCTCCATGCTACATGACATGATACACTACTGAACTACATCAACAACTAAACGACATGTAAAAAATAATCTGCACTTGGTAGGAGTTAATAAATGAATATCAATTGCCACATGAAAACAGACAGTAGGTAGCATCCTTTTATGAACCTGTTCATATTGAAATTAAAATGCCTGGATTACAGCTAAATATATCACACACCATTATTAAGACACGGGCACCTATGATTCCAACAAGAGAAGAAAGTAAAGTCAACAAGAATCTCTACTTCTCTTTGGTCCATGCAATTGCCACTTTACATAACCATAATCAAGAAGCTTACAGAAGCCAGGAGATTTTACCGGACATATAGGGCCTTGAGATGATAAAACAGTTTGCATTTCCGAAGGATCTGAAACATATCCCAATCTCAAATAGGGAAGCATCTCCAACACAGCCTCTCTTTCTTTTCCCACACATACCTGTTGTGGTATGGGAACGTTTAGAACTCTTCAAATTAAAAACAAATCACTGACGAAAAGCCTCAAAACTGAGAAATCTACCTGGAAAGCTTGCACCGATAGTTTACCATTCCTTTGAGCAGCCAGTCGCTTGTCTTGATATTGAGGATCCTCAGTATTTAGTGCTGCCTGAATTGTATTAAAGACAATTATTTCAATGTGAAGAACTAACGCAATTGTGTGAAGATTGGTTTAAGTAATAAATATTACCTCCACCATTAGACGGTCATATGAATTTTCTTCATCAACAAACCCATAGTTAATGAGTAATTTTGAATTAGGTTGTGGTCCACACCTACATAAATGCAGGAACATATTGCTCAAGATCTCTTGCCAAACAACAGGCATAGGAAAATACATTTTGTTATGCTTAAAGCAAAGTCCATCTATCCATCCATTTTTTATTATTTTTTGATAAGGTAAGTAAACTATCCATCTAAAGTTTTAACTAGCTACAAGTCTCTGATAGAGGTGAAAATTCCAAACAAAAAAGAGTTTGCATGTCCACCAAATTGGAGTGCCATCCTAGATTTGAAACACAACCATGTAGTAGTAATTGCTGTGTTCTGAATTGAAACAAAAACTTGAATACTAACAAGAAATGTAGAAGGCAGATTACATACCACACGACAATTGGATCTCCGACGCTATAAGAGCGGTCAACGACCAATTGCACTGCACCATTAACTGCTGCTAACATTGCTTTGCAGTTGCTACAGTATGATAATAATGGCGGTCCCAATGGGACTAGTGCAAACCTCCGCGCAAGACTAACTTTCTGGTGTTGATAAGGACTTCAATTGGCTTAGTCATTCTTACACATAGATCTATAAGAAATATAAACTTAACAAAATGCCACTATCAGGGTGACAAACCTGCAAATGTACAACACATGATTGCACCGCAACAAAAGCTTGCTTAAAGATCTCAAACGGAAATGCTTCAGTGGGTATATCATATGGGTATTGCTGCACAAGAAAGAATGTTGTTAAAATCAAAATCAATCACATAATTGGCTAATCGCTAAGATGAATGCTATGGTGGACAAATGAGAAAATATCAGAATAGAACAAATTAGAAAACCTGAAATAGTGATCCAGCCATGAACCAGACTGTATCAAGCTCATTGTACTCTCTCTTGATCCCTTCAGCCCTCTCCAAAACTTCAGCCTAAGTTTTCACCAAAATTATCAATGAAGATAGGACTTCTGATATCTATCAGCAGAAGGAAACTTAAAATACCTTGGTAGGACTCCCTGTCAGATAATCGAGTTCAGCATCTGACCATAAAAGAGGTGATTCCACAGACAGCTGTCCCCTTGCCCTCTGGCGATCAAGTTCTCTTATATACGGATACCAGAAAGACTTCTTTCCTTGTTTCTTCTCATACATTAGATAAAGCGCTAAGCAGGCTAGTTCAGACAATTTGTTTGTTGTCAAGAGTTCCGCTGTAAAACAAACTTTTCTAATCAACTATCTATTTTTCCTGCACAAACATTAACTATCCATCTTGTATTAAAACGCCCATTATTTCCAACAAAGCATTCTTGGCCAACCATCAAATGCATATAGCTATTTAAACTAGAATCTCTTGAATTGCTTCTATCAATGCCACTATCTATTTCCCAGACTTTAGAAGAGTATATTGGAAAGCCGGGGTGGGGTGCAGGGTGGGAGGATTCCTTCGTCAATGCATCTAATTTTATGTGGATTTAGACATTGTTCCATCACTTGTTTTCTAAAAAAAAAATTGACAAGCTACATAACAATTAATTCATAGCTATCAAATGGATAGTGTACTTGCAAAAACCAAGACAGCACTTTACCAATGGTCTCATTTCCCAGAACTCTCTCAAGCGTTACCACCAAAGAATCCGGAACAGCAAAAGCAATATCACCAGCCTGCAAAAGTACAAGTTGACCTCACCTAATCAAGAAACAAAGAAAAATCAAACAACCGGATACGAAATGGACCTGAAGATCCTCACTGGCAGCAACGTAGTGAATAGGCAGATGTTTAGCATCATGCGAAGGCCTATCCTTAATAACAACTTTACAAGGAGGCAATCCATTTTGGTGCATCCAAGATTTCAAGTCCCCATACTCATCCTCTTTCTTACTAGCAACTTCAAGAGATTTACGCACTTCCTTGACCGGACCATTATCAACAAGTGTATCTGAGCTGGAAGCAGAACACATCTTCCACAAACGACGAGCATTTGCATATTTGGGGGAAATGGAAACCCTAGAAAAAAGTGCAAGTGGCCGATGAGTGAAAGAAGGAAACGGAGCTGAAATGCATTTGGCCATCGGTGAATAAACCAAGTCCATGGGTAGAAAAGAGAAATTAGGGTTAGAAAAAAGGAAATTCGAAATTGGGATGATTGAATTTGTAGAATGAAGAATTTTTAGGGTTTAGTTGTGTTGTGGAATGGTGAAGATGAGAGCTATCACTGTCGAGCTTCTTTAGCCTCTCTCTATTAGGTAGAGTTGCAGATATTTTTTTATGGCGGATGGATTTGATGGTTTACTTGATTAACAAACTTTTATTGGAGGGAAATAATAAAATTATACATAGCCTTATAACTTATACATAGTACTATTAGTAATGGATTGGAGGATTCTAACTTTAGTTTTATACATAATTCTAATTAAATAAGTATCAAATATAGTACTGTATTATTTATACAGAATCTAATACATCCTAACCAACTACCAAATGACACTTATTTTCCTTACCAAATGATAAAAATACAAAACAATGCAAAGGATAGGAAACAATATGTATATGATCCAACCCCTTATTGAGTTTAATTGATTCTTGAAGAAATAATTTTGGAGAATAAGTAGATCAAAGTAAATTATGTTTAATAATTAACATGTATATGATCGACATTAAGTTTAAGATGTAAAGAATATATGCATTTAGCTTGCTATTTATAGGTAGGATGTTGGCATAATAAGAAACTTAACGTAGCATACTCATGTTATCGTGTCATGACTTGGCACACCCTTTTATATTAGCGTTGTGGGGAAGATTTTAGAGTCATTGAGAGTTTCTTGGAATGATTCTAGATTATTATGGAATATCTAGGAAGATTTCTTGAAAAGCCTTAAAACACTGTAGGCATACAATAATTCAAGAGAGGGGAGCTGCATGTAAATATAAAAGGACTTATGTAATGATTACTATCTGCATATTAGCCTCTAAGTGAGTAGTATAAATAGAGCGACATTACATTCATTTGTAAATCATCAAACAAAAATCAATCAAGTTATTTTCAATAGAATACTTCCTTGTAATTCTCTTGTGTTCTCTCTATCATTCTCTTTGTGATTCCTAGTGTTTAAGGTTGATTTGACATAACAAAATCTTGAACAAATGATATAAAAATATATGTGAGTTGTCAGGTGTCGTATGCTTATTTGAAAACTAAGAACATGACAATAGAGTTCATATATAATTGCTAACTCAATTCTAACCAGATATATAAAAAAAACATAATGGTTCAATTTGTTTACAACAACTTCATAATCTTTTACAAGCTCATTTGTAGTTTCAACTCCTCTACGTCATATTGTTTTAACACATAAGTTATAACAACAAAGTCCTCAAGAGAAAATGTAAATTAACAGGAGCAAATAAAAACACGAGATACAAATCAGGAGCTCATTTGAGTAAATGAGTTCTATACTTTTGTGTGTGGAACTTGGGAAATCTGTAGTGCTACTATTTGTGTGTTTGTTTTAATGTAATAGCTCACAAATTATATAGAAAATGTAAGTTGAACTAGACAAGTTAGGTATGACGAGCTCAATTGAAAAGACATTGACAGAGAAATCAATTCTTGACCTTTCTGATAATACCACCTATTACTCCAACTCATTTTTCCTTATAAAGTGATGCGTTCTTAACTTGCTACTAGTAATTATAATGTTTATTAGTCAGAAAGGATTAATGGTCCCCTAAACTAGCACCAATTTTAAAAATCAGCCATATCAAACTTACGATATCCTTACTTTACTTGATAAAAATACAATTAATAAACATCTTCGACTAAGTTTCCTGAACCATAAACAGGAAAATGGCCAGCTAGTTAATGGAAATCATCCAATACCTAATCTTATTTGCATTTTTCATAGAATCTAAACAAAAAGAAATTACTACAAGATGTTAGAAAAATAATAGAGAAACTTGTACATTATGTTTAATTCTAGGTATACTTTTTACGTTACAAATATAAAACTAGTGGTCCATGAATGAGTACTTACTTCTTACAAATTTTCAAGAGAATAATGATTTTATCTGTCTTTTCAGCTGTCTTCCAATTTATTAAACATATTAATTTTATAGTGTTCCATGAGACTTTTCAAGAAATACCGACACCAAATCAAATAGTTAACAAATGCAATTTCAAATTTAATACCGAAAGTGATATCCTAATTTTGGTTACCAAACCGCTGGATGTATTTAATTTGTTTTCGTAAGCTAGCTTTGTTTTTTGGGAAACAAATATATTTGAAAGTTTTGTATTAGAGTTTAGATTCCAATTGCAATTTGCAAATAGAAAACTAAAACTATACCATATTGCATACTATATATTATATGTAGAAATTACCATAATTGAGTCAAACGACAAGCTTTAAACTATTGATGTGTTGTCGTATCTTATATTATAAAATTAAAAAATAATAGGAACAAGATAAAAAAAAAAGTACAATTATCGGGGTGGCATTTGTTGGATTTTTTTAAAAAAAAAACAGCTGAGGTTCTAACTCAGTATTTTTATTTTTTTTTTAGAAAAAAGATAATCAAATAAACGCAACCATAATAATTCTTCAGTTTTCTGAAGGGAAAATACTACTTTTAGATGTTGATTAAAAAAAAATTATAAACGAGGAAATTTAAGAAAACACAAGTTTCATAAATGGCATTCAATATTGATTGTGTTTTCTCCATCCTCCAATACACCTTATTTTCATCTACACCACGTTATCTAATAATAGATTGGAGATTATTCAACTATTTTCTCAATAATATTTTTAACTTGCGTATTAAACAAAAGAAAATAACTAAAAAAATTAACCTACTTCTTTTTCTCGTTTTTATACCCTTGTAACAAACGTTAAATACGTCGATTGAAAAGATTATTTGAACTTACCAAGGCAATACGATCATATCTGAAAATAATCTCTAAAATTATGTGTAGTTAACAGACACAGAGGCGGAACTAAGTGGGGTTTATGGGTTCGGGTGAACCGAACAGCTTTTTCATAGACCATATATTTGTACTAGAAAATTAATTAAAAATATATATATGTATATTAATTTGTGAACCCCTAATAAAATTGATTGACGGTTCTAAAAGAAATTTAGAACCCCCAAACTCTTAATTCTGGTTTCGCCTCTAAATTAACCGTTCATAGTAGATATTCTTTCTGTCTATTGTTACTTGTCAAATTTTGAATTTTACTTATCTCTTTTTATTTATCATTTTTGACAAATTAAGAGAAGACAATATTTTTTCCTATTATACCCTCAATTTATTTAGAGACTTTAATATTTTTGAAAAAAGTAAAACATTTTTAGTGAGTAAATTGATTTTGAAATACTATCAATTAATAGGATCAAAATAATAAATTCATTATATTAATTATTTTTTTAATATATATGCCAAATAAATAGAAACAAAGCGAGTAATCATTAGAGCCAACAGATTTGTGAGGAATACCATGCATGTGAAACTCGAAAAGAGAGACATAGTTAAAAAGAAATCAAGTAAATTAGAAGACTAAAGTCCAAATAGCCGACTTATAATTTAAGGAATTTTTTTAATAAGTAATGTAGTACTAATAATATTCTTTTCATTACTGAAAAAAGGGAACAATTATTAGTTGTAAATGAGTAGTGATTTTTTTAAATTTAATTTTTAATTCACTAATAATTGTTTGTTTGGTTAAATTTTTAAAATTAAAAAAAAGATATATATTTTTTTCCTGAAAAATACCTGTAAAAAAAGGCACAATGACAAATGACCTAACAAGTTTGGAATCGTGTTTGAATGGTTGATATTTCTCTACTCTTAATTAGAGTTTTCGTATGTAAATTCTCAAAATAAAAAAATTATATATTAAAAGCATCATTCTCAAAAATAGTTTATACAATACATAAATATAAATTTAATCAAATCCTAAATATAGTCGAATACCAATAAAAAAAAACTATAAATTAGTGTTTGAAACCATGGATATGAACAAGGCATCCATAAAAGTTAATCTCAAAAGAAGTGATGAAATTATGCATCACCCACTCATCATTATCCTTAAACTAAAAAAATGTGATGGTGATGATAAAGGAACCAATTATGGGAGTTAGTTTAATTATTTTTTTTTCTTTTTGGAAAAGCATTAACCTAATTTGCATGGAAAGTGAAAGTTGTTCAATTTTTTATTTTTTATTTTTAGTGCTTTTTTATTTATTTATCTATAATATTAAAAATAATATTTATTTTTATTATATAATTCAAGAATAATTTATTACTACTATTTTATATCTATTTTACTTTTTATTGTTAAGTATTACATTTATTTTCAGTTCATTTCCCAATATAAAATAATTAATTAGGAATGCTATGATAAAATTATCATTTTTACAAATATGTCAAATCAAATATGAACAAGTAAACATGGATCAAGAGAGTATTTAGCTTTGCTTTTAAATAGAATATATATATATATATATATATATATAATTGAGTATTGCAATTGACTTTAGATTTTGAACTGCGTTACTTTTTTTGTTTGTAGATATAGATTTGAAATACTAGAATATATCATACATCTTTTTCTTTCAATTTGTCTGCATTATTTACTAGCATTTCCATATTAAAAGATTATCTCATATTTAAATTTCACTTTTAGCGTGAAAATGAATTGTTCTATGCTCCATTCCGTGCAAAAATACATTTTTTTTACATGGATTTTTTGAGGTTTTATTAATATTATTTACTGATGTGTCAAAAAAAAAAACCTTAAATTTTTGTGTACATAGTAAAACGAATCCGTTTGGTTTAGGAAGAAGGGGCGGTATAGTTTTATCAAATATTTGAGTTTGTCTGTTTAGAGTGTATTGAAAACATCATCTCTATAATAATACTGTTAAATGTGTGTACGTCTCATCCTTCCTAAATTTCATTTATGCAACCTCACCAAGTACATAATACATTATTATTGTTTGTGTTTGGAATGAAAGTTGAAAATTGATTTGTTATTTTAAACCAAGCAAGTTAGATTTAAAATTAAGAAATGTGCCCAAAGATATATTTATAGCAACAAATCCAGCAGAGTACACGACATTTAAACCAACTACCCTTCTGATAATATAACATAATACTAGTACTATATTAATAGTTCTCCAACCTAACTTTTTTATTTCAAGCATGAAGTTTGTGGATGTTTAATTACACACAGCTAATGATCAACATCAGAAGAACCTTGACGATCATGGTAGAGTAGCAAGTACTTTTTCGTTTTTAATTAGAAGTTTGAATTTGAATTT